TTATGGATAGTTGGAAGTATAGTAATGATGGACCATATTGACATTATTATGAATAGACAAGATTCTATTAACAATGAGTTGTCATATGGAAAATATGGAAATGTTTCCATAATGGGAGTTGGATATCAAGAATCTATGAGAAAGTTAGAAACTTTTATGCAAGAAGGATGTTCAAAGGAATGTGCTTTGAATATCAGACTTCGGATCTATGGAATTGTCTTGTAACAATATCCAATGGAAAGTTTTGTAATTGGCAAAGTCTCTGTGACTTGTGTATAAAGTCATTACAAAAGGATCGCTGCATATAAGTTTAAAATATAACAAATTACAGTAAGTGGCAAGAACTTGGTATTCTTACACTTACGATAAGCGTTTGGAATTGTGAAATGAGTATCGTTGGAAACGTTTACAATTGATATATTTCACAAAGTAAGGACCGTAAGTAAACATAGTGTGCATGCTTGGAGCATGGGATAGCTATTGTTTTAATTCAAGTATTAGTTGATAAATCGAAACAATATACAAAGAATAATGTGTAATCAATATGGTGATTAAATAAAAGGTGTTTTATTTATACTCAAAAGTTTTGGGGCCATATAGGATTAGTATTATTCTTGTGTTTCACTTTGCATGTTTTGACTTCCCGAATAATAAGATTATTCAAACCATCCACAGTCGATCATAATTTTGAAGTAGGTAATGAGGCTAGACTGTCATGAGTTGGCTTGTAGATTGTCTAAGGCGTTAGACATAGAAAAAGTTTGCTACACCATTCGTGAGTACTCCTGAAATAAGATTTGAGTATTGGATTAACCCACACTCACCTGAATCACTTCATGGAATTTATCACGAGTGATTGTGAGACGATAATATCATATAATCTTCAAACTAAGATATATGAGTTTTTGACTACGAGTTGGTTGTGCATTGATGATACGAAAACGCATCAGTAACTTGATGTTATAAAACGTATCGTTGTGCATGACTTAATGAGTAGTTAGTAAAAGCATATAATGTCGAAGTTTATCTATTCCTTTTATCCTAAGAGGATTAAAAGCGATATATTGGTCCCTCGATGATTCTTTTTTCACTATGTGTCGGGCCCGGTCAGAACTAAATTGATGTGTTCAGCTATGTTCTATGTCAGACGAATCGGAAATCGGGAAACAAATTGCAGGACAATAAGTATGACTATGTTCCATGTATTTGTCCGCATAGATATCTTGAGAACAGAGGAGTATATGATCCCTTATCTAAAGGACGTGTCACTGACTGCGTCAGAGTTCGACAACGGCTTTTGAGAGCTATGATTGCTAATCGGGTTTTGGAGTTGCATTGGCAGTTATAGTTATTAGACTTATCCAAGTGGGAGACTGTTAGATTTAGTGTCTAAGCCCATAACTATAACTGGGATGTACTTGAACCGATAGTAGCATGGTCCTTTTGGGTTGCCTTCACCAGTGCAATTTGATAGGATGGACTTTTGAGAATAAGGTTGTTTATGATTTATTAATATATTATAAGTATAATATATTAATTGAGAAACCATATTATTTAATTAGTATTGATCAAGAATTAATTTGGAATTAATTTTGTGATCAAAAGAGACTAATTAAATATGTGGGGATTGATTATGTAAATCAATGATTCTTATAGTGTGGGCTAATGATCCATGGTTATTTAGGATGGGCTAAACCAATGAGATAGTCCATGGAGGTTTAACCCATGGAGCCTAAGTAATATGAAAGGTCATTAGGGTTTGCAAGGTGTAACCCTAGGATTTGCTACACTCTAAAAGGACCTCCCTAGAACCAAAATCGGTTACACGATTGATTCTAAGAGAGTCATAATCAATTTTGATCTAAGTAACTTATTCTCTCAAGTCTCCTCTTGCATTTGGTGTTTGTGACACATTAGAGACATCACACTTGAGGTGCTCAAGATTTCAAAGGCCAATAACTACACCCTACATCAAGAGGTATTCATCTAAATTAGTTTTTATATTGTATAGCTTCAATTGTATGCTAGTTAGGATGTATGCTTTGGAAAATTGAAAATGCATGTATAATTAGAGAAAACATAGATCCAAAGCATCTAGGATTGCATGTTCACCATAGATTGATCCCTCGATAGTGGAATCGTAGGGATAAGCTTGGATTTTCTGTCCATAATGGAGCTTACCGCGTTTACTGGACGAGTTCAGAAAAAAAGGAGGGGTTGGTCAAGCTAAGTTTTTATAAACGAATTTTTGTGAAATGGTTTTTAAAAAATACATTGTTTTCACAAATTTAATTCGGCGTAAAAAAAATTTTCTCAAGCTTAGTTTGACTTATTAAATATGAAATCCAAATCGTTAATATAAAGTATTGAGACTGTTGTCTAGGTAGTGATTTCATTGGAGCTTCCTCGTAGTGAAATCTGATCATGTGAACAAAAAAAGAGTGAAGTATTTTGATAGAGTTTAAATTTTTAGTTTCCTTAATCTTGTTTTAGTTTATATTCTAAGTTCCTTTTTATGTCATCTACATCTTTCCATATGTTTATATTGTTTTATTCTTTTTTCTTACTTGAGGGCAAGTAAGGTTTAAGCTTGGGGTAATTTGTTAGATGCCATTTTATTCATCTTTTAGGGTAGTTTTTATTAGCATTTAGGATCATATTTTGTACATTTGCATGTCATTTATGTAAATAATGTTCGGCTCATGTATTTTGTTAGAATTCCCGTACAGCTCATGTTTTTATGACAATTTCAGATAGTTCGAGTGGAGTAGTGCTTTGGGAGCAATTGGATGCGCGTTTGGAGCTTAAAATGGAGTTGGAACTGAAGGAGGATGTTGAGGAATGCTTGGAATATGTTTTGGTCAAGAAACATTTGATCAAATTGATCACACGAAGATAGAATCTACAATCTGAAACTAAAGGATGTTGTTGGCAACTTTGAACCCCTGCCAGTATTTTGACCATATCTCATGAACCATAACTCCGATTGACGAGATTCAAAATGATCTGAAAAGTAGACGAAATTTTGGATGTCTTAGGCAAAACATGCGATTGCAACTCTTGTCCATGCAATCGCATGGAGCCTTTATGAGATTGCAAGTTTGGTCGCAACTTGTCTTCGAGGTTTTTTAGTGCCAAAAATTCATCCGAGAGTAAAAAATCAAAACATGCAATCGCAACTTTGCTATATGCGATCGCAACTTTGCCAAAAAGTGTTGAAATAGCTTCCTAATTCATTAAAAAGGCTCGTGACGCGTTTATTTTCAAACCTGCGATCGCAACCTCAATACATGTGATCGCATGTTATCCGTTTCTTGTTCTGAAAGCTTCCAACTTGAGTATAAATACATCCCTCATAATCAGTTGTAAGAGTTGGACGATTCCAGACGAAGAAAACCACTTCAGAAGGCGATTTTCGAAGTCTTTCAGTGATTTTTGAAGATCTGAAGGCTGCGAATCATCACACATATTTAGTTTAGAAGATTGATCAGTAGATGTTTCTTTTATCTAGTTTGAATTCGTTTTTAGCCATGTCTGGGTAAACTTTAGTTTTCAATTCTACATAGACTAGTACTTTTCATGTGATTAGTTTTCAGATTTGATTTTTTTTTGTTTCTATCTAGATTTTTAAGTTTTGAGCTTAATGAATGTTTGGTTTTAAATTCTTGTTAGTTTGATCACCTAGCTAGGGTTTTATCATTCTAGTTAATCAGTTAATAGAATCCGTAATTGTTCTTGTCAACTGGTAAAAGTAACAAGTATCAGATTGGTTCCGTTTTGGGATTTAACTCTAATATAAACTGTAAAAATCGTATCTTTACGCTTTCGAGCTTGTGAGAAGTATTAGGTACTGCTGGGAATTTTACAAAGAACTTAATGAAATTTTTCTGATTTAATTAAGAGCTTGTTTAATTGAACAGTAAAAATTTAAGGTTAATTCAAAGAGCTTGTTTTGGTTAACTAAATAAGGTAAAAGAGATTATACTAGAGCTTGTTAGTTTTTCTCAGTACCAGCTTAGATAAAACGCATCTCTAATAATCAGACTTGGGTTAGTTGCATGATTAGGAAAGTCGCATCAGAACTGAAACCACTTTTATTATTGATTTTCGTTTAATTTAATATCACTGCATTTTTTGTTTTTAGTTTATAATTAAAACCCCCTTTTATATTCTGTTTCTTGACTAGATGTGTCTGATGCAAAAAGGAATTGACTTTTAGGCAGTGTCCCTGAGGATTCGACCCTGCTTCCCTGTGCTATATTTTTTTAGTGCAACCAGCAGTGATAAATTTATTTGCTTAATACGCACGCGACAGCATGATAACAGTAAGTTGGTTGTTATTTTTAGTTATTTGTTGTTTTTTATTAAGTTGGTTGTTTGTTATTAAGTTGCATGCATGGAAAGGATTTAAGATGTTAAAATGCATGGCAAGGACATATATGGGTAATTATAAAATGTCGACCACATGCTGTCAATTTTAAATTGTCACAGATTATGTCCTTTTGACAATTTGCACACAAGGGACCACTACTGCACATAACTCAATTTAATTTTAAATGGACCAAGTGTGCTCCATATGCCCGACAATGTGGTTCCCACAATTCTATTTTAAATGGATCACATACATATCATTAAGTATACAAAGGTACAAACCAAGTGGTTCCCACAATCTGAATTATATATTATATTGCAAAAGAAATGAATATAAGTCTTTCAACCATTACCATTGCCATTCATTTGTTCACGGGATCTTTCATACATACACATACAAAAGTTGTTAAAATTACTGCCATCCAAAATATATATCTACCTTACATTCACTATCCTGGTCATGTACCATCCATCCAAAACCCAACAAAATTTCTACTTTGATGATCATCTACACATACACTACACAAAAGACTGGTTGGAATTATAAATCATCAACCATCAGTACTAGAATATGATTTGTTGCACTTCAACCATATCCCAATGAATGCAATTACCAGAAATATGATCAATCACTTAGCAATTCCCAGGTAAGTCTTCATCAGAGTGTTTTCCTTTTTCAGTTCCATCAACTCCATGTCGAAAAATTCCTTCTCAGCTTCCCTATCTTGCTGCAACTTAACCAATTTCTTCTGTTCCTTCGCTACCTCATTGTGGTCTTCCTTTCTGCATAGCTCAAACCTCATCTTACGAAGCTGGTCTTTGTAATACCCCTCATCCATTTCATCGTCTTTCCACATAAAAAATTTACATTTTGGACCTTCAACTGACTGATTAAAAAGGAAGAACATAATTAGGGTTACGATTAGAGAAAATGTGTACATTTTCCAACTACCGATAACAAATAGAGTGTAAGTAAAGAGAAGGAATACTCACCAAGGAATTTTTGTAGTTCCAAAACCTTCGGGCTACATTATCATCAGTCCACGCTGATTCCATCCTTACAGCCACATGGGGGACATGTTTCATCATTGTCATGGTGTCGAGGACGAAGACTGTTGACGGATCGAACAGAAGATGTAGACATGGCTTTGGTTTTAACGATCAAGAAGGGGTATCGAGGGTGAGGGAATGACCTAATTTGGGGTAACAACGTATCATTTCTGGTTCGATAGAGAGTTCCATTTAAGGAAGGTATGCCACCGTATACAGTGACATGGTAAGGTATAAGTCCACGTATGTCAAGACACGTCAGCGTGTGACCCGTTAACCGGATACAATTCCCTCAAGGATGTAATTAGTCGGTATTTCCTAACGTTAAGGACTAATTGAGCATAACACATACATGAGTGACTAAATGTGCAAAGTGGCACAACTTCGTTGTGCTACAGTGCCAAAAACCCTTTTAGAAAAAACAAATATTTACGTTATGTTAGGTCTTCTTTATATAGAAACAAAAAAATATCAAATCAAACATAAATACCCAGATGACGCATGCTATGTACAAGATATAAATGATTAACTATATTCAAAATCAAAAATAACTAATGTCTTTACGATTTTTGTTGACAATTAAAATAATGGACATACATTTACATAGTATTTAAACTAGGTGTGAGACTCGTGTACTACACGAGTTGATTAGAAAAAAAATGTTTAATATCAAGGTGTAAACATTAATTTTTTATACTAAAATGAGACTTACAGTTCCATCGGATTACAAATTCCCTCTAAGTTAATTTCGTCAAAAACATCACAAAGCCATATATATCTTAAGATTCATATGCTCCTGATCCGATCAAACAATGCATTGTAGGATGTGAAAAAAAAAATCAAAATCACATTATCAGGAAACGTAATTGGAAAAGCATCAATGTTTGATTATAAACACCCAATATCTCAGTCCACAACATAATAGATAAAAAAATGTGTTTATCATTATTACCAATTAGAGGGTAAAATGGTCATTTACCTCACACCATGTAGTTGAATATAAATTATTATAATAGTAGGATTTTTAGTAAAAATTCAAGAATTTTTTTTGTAAATCTTAAAAATGTAAAAAAGTATAAACATAGGCGGTTCCTTGTCTGGTTCTAAGTAACAAACCAGTTTTTTTCATGATCTTCAAAGAAAATACAAAAAAAAAAAAAAAAAAAAAAAAAAAAGCTCATGATCTCCATCACTCCATGGATAGTTTGTCGACACAAAATAACAAAGAGTGATATGAAAGAATGAAGAGACATGGATCCTATAATTCATAAATAGTCGATGGGTAGGACTCGGTGATTGAATGGTATGGAGCAAAGTCTGTGTGAAAATGACGACCACCATTCAGCACTCCATCTCGTTCCCTGTTATAGACATTGATCTTTATCAATTTGGAATTCTTTTGGGGAATTCTAAGCTTAGTCACATTATTTTCACTTCAAAGGAAAATTCTAACCTCCTTATTTCAAAATACATAATTTATTATTCAAATATTATTCAAATATAAGATTAGCGAATAGCAATGTGCCCATACATTACTAACGCACATTTTTTAAACAATAATATATCATAATTTATTTTTAGATTCAATTAGCATAATATAGTTCAATACATATCGATGGAAAGCAAACGGGCAACAAGCTGCGCCGCTAGCCCTTTCTAGATGGCAAAACTAATCCTTTTGAAAACAACATCTGTGGATCTAGGAGATATGACGTTAGAGTGCATGTCATCTGGTCTAAGTGTGAATCTTCCATCCTGCGGGTCCGTCAAGAAGTTTACTGACGCTTCTTTCTTCGCAGAAATATCAGCACGCCGACAAGCATCAAAGAGAACATCCCTAACCACATCATGTTTGTACTTGAAACCAGGGAGCTCTCTACAATGAACTGTATGTTCCCCAAATGTATCCAAACATGCCTTGCGGCAAACTGGGCATATCTCGTCAATTGGTAATAGAGGAATCATGAGGCGGTAGCGAATGATAGTTCGATACTCCACAGGAGACATATGCTGGCCAAGGCCATCAATGGGGATAGTTAGCAGAAAATCCTGAGCATGAGGTGCCCGAAGACACTCAAAAAACTGATTTCTGTCTAACAGTCATGTCGAAGTCGACTTCCATATCTTTGACGATTTTGCTAAAAATGGCACACGCCAATGCTTTTTGGGATTTAGGGGGGACGGAGTCCTTATTATTGAAACCGCTACAGTCGAATCCCGGAATCGTATCGCGAAGACATATGTAAAATAATTAATAATACGTCAAAGTTTACAAACCAAAGTTAAAATATGTATAATACAAATGACACTATTTGAATTCCACATTCTGTTAATATTAACTATTCTCTACATCTCTACTGTCTTATATAAAAAATTAAACAAAAATGATCCAAAAGGGGCTACTGAAGGTCTGATAGTGTATGGGATTGCAAATACAGTTGTTAAGAAATAGCAACATACTTTTTTATACAAATTGGATATTTGTTCGTAATGCTATCATCGTTATTTAATTAATATGTTGTTGTTATTAGGTAAAATATAAAGTATATTGCCCATATTATATCTACAGTAAGGTTCCTTCTAATAATTGTTTCAAACCTTTCACACATACATATGGAACATTGATTTAACAAGAACAGCCAACTGATCATTCAGGAGTGACTCATACTTGTATACCTGTAATAAAAGATAAAATTTCATTTTTAACTCCCGAAAAAGTTTGTAATAAAATTTCCTAATTAAAGCTTGTAGCCTCGGGGTTTAGCACTTATTTCAATAAATACATCCTATACTTATTTGGTGATAAAGTAAGAATCTCAAATCAATGTCCATTTCACTCCTGATCAAAATTGCCAAAGCACAAAAAAAAAGTCATGCATCATATGCATACTCATTCAATTATTTACTAATAATTATAAAAAAAAAATTTAAAAACTAAAACCCAAGAGTAATTATATTAATTATATATTACTTATCACAATTTTCATCAACTTATGTTATGGCCAAATAACAAAATTAAAGAAATTTCAACAAACAATTTGTAAGCATTTCAACAAACCAAGTTTATATGCAAAAAAATGAAAGTACATTGCCATGTCACCTCTAATATACACAAACAAATGACCTTGGTTTACAGCACTGACCTCCTTATTGCTTAGAATTTGAAATGTTTTCTGCAATTATGTATCTCACATTACAACCTTCAAGAAGTGGACAAGTGCATTTAAAAAACCATGGAATTAAGTAGATCAAATTCCATATGTGGTAAAAACTACTTAAAATCTAGATAGAACAATGTTTCAGTCGTCACATAGGTAATGTTGGCGAGGGTCAAAATTAATTATACTGAAAAGGTAATAACAACAAAATCCACCTTCATTAAAGCTCGCATGCTAGCTACTACTAATCATTAAGAAAGAAAACACAAATCTTTTACAAGCACAAAATACCAATCATTAATGTTTTACTAATATATATTGGAATTATCAGGTGTATTACATAATAATCATCTAAAGAAATCAAAACAACTACATGTTTGCATATATACAGGCTATAAAAAACAATCAAATAGATAAAAACACATGTTAGTCGTAGAATATTATGATATTATTTTGTTGAATCCAGAAGAACCAAAGAATAAAGTCTAGATTCAGCAAGATTAAACCTTACACACACCTCGTTGGTGCCTTAGTGGATCCAAACAAAAAGAAAAGAGGTGATGGGCGAAGAAAAATATCATAATCACAGCGGAGAGTTCAGTCTCCTCCATTCCAGTTTCAACCTTTAATTAATACATCAGGAATCGAATTAGAACCCTGAATATAGGTAGATGTATGGATGGGCTTAGATTTAGGAGAAGAGATCGAGATGGCAGGTGTAATGAGGACACGTGTAATGAGGAGTTGTGCCATGTGGAATTTTTTTTCTAAAATTACCATAAAATTACATTTGGCAAAAGGCATGAGAGGATGACAGTCGGCAAAAAGTTCTTTATTTATTAAAGAGGATTACAAGACTAGGGTGGTGGATTGCAAGTCTTATGTATGAAAACTATTTAATAAAACAAAAAATAAAAAAATAATATTTATTCTTTTTCTAGTTTTTTTTTTAAATGTGAAAATTATGTATAAAAAAATAAAAACTAATATTTAGAATGGCTTATAAACGAGCCTGGAGCATCCATAATAGAAAAGGTTTTTATGGGGATTGTCTAATGAAAAAACTCAAAAAGTAACAAAGCCTATTATACGCATAGTTTTTTCAAATTGATTTTCATAAATAAAAAAAAAAAAAAAAAAATTATATGTTGTCAAATTATAATCGCTGAAATAACATGGGATCCACATAATCTTTGAAAAGGCTCATAACAACAGCTTGCTAATTAGAAAGCAAATTGAAAAGGCTTCAAGTAAGCTCTCTGCATATTAAGTCAAAAAGAAACATCCTTATATAGTAGTCTGTAGTTCATATTAACTACTTAACCCTGTTAAGCTCATTAAGTCAAAATCAAACAACCCCTTAGACTGACTACAACAAATGAGACTCTTGAACACTTTCCAAATTAAAAGAAAACGAAAAAGCTTGATTATGAAGCTACTGAAGAACATTCACTAATATCTGGTTATTGAAACAAAACCCTCTGTTTGTTATCATCATTGCGCTCATGGCTGCAATTGGTGAGAGACAACGGACAAGTGCCATCCTTGTGGGCCCAGAAGCTCCCTGCCTGCAAGATTAACCAAAAAAAATATTTCATTTATGGACCAAAACGAAGGGCAAATTAGTAATTATGTTGATTTGGAGAGAGTCAAAGGCTATTTTGACCTGAAAAATAGACGGATACTGGAAGCATCATACTCACAACCAGCCAAGAATCGCTCAATGTCTTCAAAATTTGCATTTGGAGGAATTCCTTGCAGTAAAACCTGCACACACATCTCACATTTTTAGAAAACTAAATGACCATTTTACCCTTATATTAAAACTTCATGAATATTTATCAAAAAGAAGAAGAATTTGGACTTACATATTTCCCATCATATGGCTGGATGTAATCCCAATTTTGAACGATCAGCCTGATATAAAAAATTCAAAGCATTTTAGGGAAACTTCTTAGTTTACAATGATATGAATAATGTTTTGCAATTTGTAATAAAGTATTTGTGAAGGAATTAATTAGTAATTACCCTTTCCATTCTATACAAGCGACCTTTCTTAGCAACTGCCCTAAGAGCAGCATCATAGGCACTCCTGGAAGAGAACTGAACTATCCTGCTCATCAACCACATGATAAAAATGGAATTAATCACAAGATTGTTTCAGTTGATGCATTGCAATGTTGAATTATAACATGGAAAAATTACATTCCAGTTGGTGAGTATGATGGATTGTAATCAACTTTGAGATCATCACTGCTTAATTTGCATTCTTCAAATAGACTGAGAACATCACTCTTTAATGTGTTCTTTGTAATGCCTACTAATTTCCCATAAACCAAACCTGTAATAAGCACATAACAATAAGGAAAATAGAAGTAAGTTATTACATGAAGTCATGAAAAGAGATGCAAATCGATGTGCCATTTTAGTAAAACTTTTTACAATGAGAACTAGTGAAATCAGTAATTACAAGCTAATAAGCTCAATAAATTTATAACATCCAGTATCCAACAGATTCGTAGCATAAGTACATATCAAACCCTAATTCTTTTACCATCAAATACCAACACCAGACTGAGAAATTCCACTAAATTAAAATGAATTGATGAGAAGCGAAACCATAGTCGGTATCAATCACAAACGTGAGATTGCCCTAGCTTAATAGAAACGCTAAAATTTTGGAAATGATGAAACGACATTTGAAGGATGAGTATTGAAACTACTCAAATTTCATGCAAGAAAATTGTTAATGTTGAATAATATAGTACCTGAAGATGGGGTTTGGAATAATGGTTTAGTGGAGGAGGACTGGTTAGTCGGTGGTGCAGATTCCGTCGAGAATCGACGGAGAGACGCAGAGCTGGACAGAAGTGATCTGAGCCCATGATGTGGATAAACATTCCGCATCAAATAAGTCGACGAAGATCTGACAGTGTTATGGAGGAGATTCATATTCAATGAGGTATTCAGCTGATTGGCCTTCAAGGTTTTAGGCAATGGAGGTTTTGTTGTGGGTTGTCGATCACGAAGATCAAGACGACGTCGTGTCCGTTTCAAAGTATGGGCTCTTGGCCGGGTTGGGCTAGGCTGGGCAGGTCCTAGGCCTCATTGATAAATTTCAATTTAAAAAAGAAATTCAGATTTACAATTACATTTTTTAATGTAATTTGTTCGATTAATACACGTTTGATAAAGAAAATAATAATTAAATTATTTAGAAAAATTAAAAATTGAGGAGAAACTTTCTAGTGTACTTCAAAAAGTTAACAAAAAAAATTATAAGTGTTTATAGTGTAGTCGAAAAAAAGTTAAAATTTACAAGAAGTGCATTGATTTGTATATGAAGAAGTTAAGATTGTGTTGAACTACTGAATTGTTGAAAATTCAAAGTATTAATAATCAACCTTGTAAAAAGATTTTTATAATTAAATAAGTTAGTTTTTTTTAGTCAATAATATAAATCATTTTTATTCTACTAAATGATTTTTTGACTTTTCTATTTAGTAAGATAAATCCGGATCAAAAATGAAAGAATTTTTTTTGTGAAATGTAAGAAATTTTTTAATGCACCAACAAAATGAACCATTAGATGAATCAAAATTAAGATAATTCACAAAAAAAAAAATCAAAAAAAATCAAAAAAGCTTTTATGATTAATTTTTCAGTAAATCAAACAAAAATTCATTTTTATGACAAGATAACAACAAAATCATCGCAAAAATTAATCATTGAGATGTTTTTTAGGATTTTTTTTTTAATCATGTTATTTTCTATTCATCTGATGATTCATTTTTTTGTTTGCCAAAAAATTATACAGAAAAAAAAAACTTGTTACATTCCTACCAAAACTTTCTTTCTTACTGGATCTAATTCCTTAGTAAGACTAGCAAATATATCTATGAAAACCAACCAATATGTTACCAATCGAAACAAAAATATCGATGATGAACATGTTTGGTTGGTAATTTGAGTAATCATGGTATGATAATGATATAAAATTTTCAAGATCATTATATATATATATATATATATATATATATATATATATATATATATATATATATATATACTAGTAGTTAACATGCACAAAGCGCCGGGCGGCGAATAATTTTGTTCGGCAATGAGTTTTTTTTCGTTCCTTTATTGAAGATTTCATATCGACTGACATAAATTCGTAAATTTATGAAACTTCTGAATCAAGCCTTCATTTTTGGTCTTCAATATATTGGGTTAAATAAGAGTATTCTATTTTAGGTAGCATTGTAGATTCTTATTTTCATTAAAATCACAATCATTTAAATCACAATGAAAGTCTATTTAATTATTCCTCAAGTTGCCATTTTTTACCTGAAAGTCTATTTAATTAGAAATTTAGTTATCAAATTAAAATTAAAGAGGTAAATCACGATATTAGTACAAACATTATTTCAAAATAAATTTAAAGCGATGTAATCAACATGAGAAATTAAATATCCTTCTACTTTTGTTCCTACAAATTCTTCTATCCAATTAAATGATTACATGTGTCATTTTATTATACTTACATATCATTAAATGAGCATTAAATGTAACACATGTCATCATTTAATTGGATAGGAAGATTTTTAGAAACAAAAAATAGAAGGATATTTAATTTCTCAATCAACATTTGCAAATTGCGACAACATTTGTACCATAACATCATTTATTCCAAAATTTCAAAAATAGCAATGTAAATCGTTTAATTTACTTATTACAATTTTCATCTCCTAAGCATCTTTTAATATTTTGTAAAAAAAGGATTTGGAATTAAAACCATTTTAGCATGAAATAAAATAATAAAATAAGGAGTATCATATAGAGCAAAAAAAAATGAGAAGTGACCAATGAAAAATCATGCAGGTTTGCTAGTTTTTGATAGAATATCACAAAACAAGCAAACATTGTTGTATATGCAATGCTGAAAATAATAACTATTTTACATCAAATTCAAAATTTGTGATCCTTATATTTTTTTTTAATCTAATAATGTAAATAAGGCCACAACGTTTATTTGTTCATTTACATGTGCACCTTTCTAAAACTAATTTCTCCTAATAATTATTAATCGTGTAGGTCATAATAACTTCAACCAGTTTTACCTCCAAAAGCCAAAGACATTGTAACCACAGTATGTAGGTACTTTTGTTTACCTGATGAACTAAAAAAATAAAATATTATAAATGAAATGTTGTAAAGAATATCATCAAACTTCACTATCGCTACCTATATAAACAATGTACATTTTTTGCTTAATAGCACTATACCAACATTTTTTTACTGAAAAAAGTAATATACTTTATCTTTTTATAATACAATATTATACTTTAAATAATCTACAAATTATATTGATTACAATTCTTTCTTTAACTTTTTTTTAAAGAAAAAAAAATAATTTATCCCAACACCACTTGATGGTTTATGCTACCAAGCCCAAAGAAAAGAAATGAAAAATAAATTAAATTGTCTGGCATAAAGAAAGCTCGAGAAATATGATTACCTTGTAAGTATTTACACCACTCATCAACGGTCCTTTCCAGATCATCCAATATGTTATCTGTATTTGGATGCAACAAAACAGTGGTGTCAAAGTTCCCACCTTCTTCGTTTCTTGCGACAATTACACGAACAAATAAAGGCTATTTTTTATGACAGGGGCATTTTTGTCTTTTGCAAAAAAGTGAAAAATTTTGGTTCATACATACCCTAGCACCACCAATTTCCTCAACAGAATGAATTCAATATATACAAAATCATCAGGATTTATAGCACCAAGCTTCAACTACAATTAAATATTAAATTATATTAATAGCAAAAACCTAGCTAAAAAAATATACAAACATTAAAACATGTTTACAATAAAATTGACAAAACTGATGTAATTCAAAATTGTAGCCGATTTTTAAGACCAAATACATCAATATCTTTTATGCAGGAAGCAATTCTAAAGAAATTAACTAATGGTTGAGACAAAATCACCTCCTTATTTGCAGATTTCATTGGTAGTGGTGCTATGACCTTAAGTTCACCATTAGGTCATCGGTTTCATCTTTTGTGTCTCGATCTTCAATAAACCATTGGAATTATCTCTAGAACGGCAAACAATATAAAATGAGATCATAAGAATAATATTTTACAAATGATAAATACAAATATCAAAAGCAGATAATGTGATTCAGTTCATAGTTATGTTAGTTGCCAATACGATGTACCTTTTGAGAATCTTGGTTTTCTTTGGATTAGTTGCAACAATTACATCATCAGCAAGAAACAATGTGTTAAGACTTGCTAATAGAATTTGGTTGCAAGTTGTTTGCACAAACATGAGGGACCTGGTTACTATGTGCAATAAGATTGGAAAACAACCAATGAAATCTTTTAGCATCAAGCTTAATTTTTTCTAGTTATGCCATTCAGCCATTATACATTGAAATTGTTTGGGTCAGGGGATAAATTATTATATTATAGTGACAATACTTTGAAACTCAACCAATTATAAAGTTCAACTTCCAATTTTTCAAAATAGAGTATAATACTTTAAAAAATCTACCCAATTAGAATTATAATCAGAAATCTGTCACACCCCCGAACCAGACGACGGAAACGTCTGGGGGCTTGTGCGTGACTTCATCTTGAAATATCATTACAGTGAATATAATTGAAACATAACATTATCATCATCACACATGTAATATAACAACATTCATTGTTTACATCGAGTATTGTATTTGAATATTACATGCCAAAATAGTAAGAATATGATGAAACAAAATATAACACAATATCCATTAGTTTGTTTCGTTCATCCTGCTTCAACGGTTTCCTGAGAATACAAGTTATTTTGAAAAAAAAACGTCAACATATAATGTTGGTGAGTTCATAAGCATGTTTGTGAAAATGATTTGTATAACTTTGAAACCACCAGAAAATCCGATATTTTCTGCAAACTGTTTAGTATGGTTGTGTCAGACCTTGTATTAATGCATGTATGTTTTTGTTTATTTGACTAAAAGGGTAAAGAGAATGTAGAGAGAATGTAAAGAGCATGTATAGAGAGTATTCCCAGACAACCCGATGTTGTCTGTAAAAGAGAAGGGTCTTCCGTAAACTTCATAACGTTAATTCCTCTAAGCGAGCCGTCATAACCATACTAAATAATGACAATTTCGCCTGTCTTTGCGTCTTTGGGACGCCGCCAGAATAGAATAAGGTTTTTGTCACCCTAGACTGGCCTAGTCTAACTGTAGCGAACAGCTCAGGTGTGGGGTGTCACCCCCGTATAGATCTATACACAAATCCCCGCTCTCCCTCCAAGAGACTCTGGTTATAACTACAGGCTACGATTGTACACTCAAAGGTGCCAACCGACATGTCTCACTAGATCCTTAATCGAATTTACGCGAAGAAAAAGGTATAAACTCATTCCAGGCCCAATGATCCATGTAAGTGAACCACTAAGGCATCGCTAAACATGTAAATCATTTCAAGACCCAATTGGAATGAGATTATATAACATGGGCCCGAAATATATATGAAAGGACAACTAAGGCCCATTTCACATGTAAGGTATTTACAGGCCCAAATAGCACAAAAATAGTATCCAAGGTCCGTCGCATATGTTAATGGGTCAATGAGGCCCAATAAACATATAAATAGTATACAGGACCTCTCACACATAAAAATGGGCCACTAAGGCCCAATAACCTAGAAAATGATCAAATTAATCCGTTTGTTAGTTTATCGTTGGTTTTGGTTCAAGTATTCACTAAAATAGCATAAAAGCCCACTTTTTGTAAAAATGATGTTCTTGGCCCAATAAGCCAAAAATTTACAATTAAGGCCCAATTTTTGTAAGAATAACACTTTAGTCTCCATTTTGTTTAAAACTTGTGTTGATGACTAGTTTGTGGTAAAAATTACATTTTAAACCCATTTTAGTCAAAAATATCATTTTTGGCTTGATTTTTGTGAAAATACACATTTTTCTGGTTTTGGGCTTTTCTGACCTAGTTGTTGGAAAATTCGTAGAAAATTCATCGTAAGTCGAAATTTGGATCCGTAAATTATTGAAGTTTGGAAATTTTGTCTACTTTGTTCACAATGTTTCTCAAAATTTTTAACGGCTTCTAACAAGTGTGAAATTGCTCACCTTCATAGGCTGGTCCGAAAATATTTCAAATATGATAGGCAGTTTTGTAAAATTCGCCAAAAATTGTAGACAAATCGTACGAAAACGTGAGAGTAGTCATTTTAAAGGTATAAATCTGAACTTTATCCATGTAAAACAGTTTTGAAAAATATTTCCATTAAGAGGGTCAAAACAGTTCGAGATTGGGCTAAAACTTTCCTGTCAAAAGCTGATTTTTGTGTATAAGTTATAGATCTTTGAGCACAACACTCATTTTTGCTATTTTAAGTGTATAATTCCCAAATCTACAAGTTTATATGTAATATATGTGATAAAACATACTTTTCTCAAGGTTCTTATGAAGATCCAAGTGATAAACTTCAAGTTCTTAACATATTTTTAGATTAATGAAGAAATCAACACATAATCAACAAATAATTCATGGAAAACACACATAGTCATGCATATACACATAGATCTACACATTTTACTTGTATTCTCCCCCATAAAACTTATGAAAACCGAAAATAGAGGGGTATGAACTCACCTTTGCTTGGATGTTTCGGTTAAGAAGAAGAATGGAAGAAGATGATGTGATTTTTGGTCCTAGCAAGCTCCTTGGGAGGTTTTTGGGCTTGGATGGGTTCTAAGATGCAAGATCACGAAATTTCATGAGTTAAGAGGAGATTTTTGAAGTAATAAGGAAACTAAACCATGGATCTAAGCAAAAACTTACCAATGATGATGATTTTGGTGAAGATTCCTCTTGAAGCTACACTCAAAAGCTCGAAATTTTGGAGGAAGAAGGAGGTGATCTAGAGAGTGTTTTGAAGATGTTTGAAATGAGAAATGGAGGTGGGTGGTGGGTGTCTTGGCCGAGGTTAAATAAGAGAAGAGAGAGGGATAGTTTGAGGTGATGTTTGCATGGATATCCACCATGCAAACATGAGGTGTCATAAGCACAAATTTCCTCATTTTTCCTTTTTTTTTTGTCAACTAAGCATGGTGGGCCGAGAATTGGGCTTATGAGAGATGGGAATGAAGTAATTTGGCCCATTTTTGGTTTTGTCAAATTTTTATGGAGCCCAAGAATTATTTTTCGGCCCATTGGGCTCTTAAGGAGACTCACGGCCCAAATTGGTTTAGGGCCCCTTTAGGGCTAATTAAATCCTTTATGGCCCATCATGGCCCAAAATGCTAAAGCTTTATGAATGTGATCCATTTGGAACCCAATTAGGGTTTCAAGGCCCAAAGTAGTCAAGTGGAAGGTTTATTGGTCCATTAGACCCAATAAAGAATTCGTAGTCTATAATGAATTTGAGCCGGGATTTCTAGGGTTTCCAACCCTTATTTGAACATATGAGATGTATTTGAACGAGAATAGAGTATGGTATTCACTTAGAGTACAAGTTATTACACTAGGTGAATGATTGCATGAGAGTGAAATTTCCTAGCAAAAATGCTAGTTGTGACATCATCCCCCCGTTAGAGGGAATTTCGTCCCGAAATTCTTTCGAAAGATAGGTTCATGAATGAGAGAATAGGTGAGGGTACTTCTGCTTTATATGATCCTTGCGTTCCCATGTGAATTCCGGTCCATGCTTAACGTTCCATCGAATCTTCACAATCGGAATGCGACTTTGTTTAGTACGCTTCACTTCTCTGTCCATAACCTCAACCTGTTCTTCGACGAATAGAAGATTCTTGCTTATCTCAATCTCTTCCAAAGGAATGACATGAGTCTCATCTGATATGCATCTTTTCAGATTCGAGACGCGGAACACGGGGTGTACATTGTTGAGTTTGGCAGGTAGCTGCAGCCTAGAAACCATTGGACCAATCCGGCAAGAATATCGAACGGTCCAATGTATCACGGGTTCAATTTTCCTCATTTCCCATAGCGAATCATTCTCTTCCGAGGAGAGTCCTTTAATAACACGCGATCTCTGACTTGACATTCTAATGGCTTACGCCGCTTGTCAGCATAGCTCTTCTGTCGGTCTCGCGATGCTTGAAGTCGAGTTCTGATTTGGATTATCTTCTCTGTCATTTCGCGAATGGTTTTCTGGTCTCGTGTGAGTACTGACGAGTGATCTGCATTTACGACCATAAAGAGCCTCGAAAGGAGCAACCTTGATGCTCGTGTGATAGCTGTTATGGTATGAGAATTCAATCAAGGGCAACCGGGTATCCCATGACTCGCTGAATTCAAACACCCAGACTTGGAGCATGACTCCGAGTGGTTGAATGGTCTGTTCGTTTTGGCTATTGGTTTGAGGGTGGTAAGCAATGCTCATGACTAGCTATATTCCCACAGCCTTTCGAAGTGACTGTCAAAATCTTGAAGTAATTCCGTTATCTCGATCCACGCAGTGCTACCTCCGCGATGTTCTCCTACTTTGATGCTTTCCAAGGCCGGTCGTAGGTGTTGACAGTGTTTTATTCTTGCTTCGTGAGCAGACGAGTATGCTATTGATGAAAAATAATGAAAAGGCTGACTAGGAATGGTTGGGAAAACTCGGTTTGTAGGGTCCATGAATACCGTGGGAGCATTCGTTAGACCGAAGGGTATCACAATGAATTTGAAATGCTCGCGACGAGTTCGGAAGGCAGTTTTTGGAATGTCGTCTTCTTGGACTAGAAGTTGATGATAACCGGTTCTTAGATTTATTTTAGAGAAGTAACTAGCTCCTTGGAGCTGGCCAATAGATCGTCAGTCCGAGGGACTGGGTATCGATTTTTGATAGGGAGCTTATTCAATTTCCTAAGATCGACGTACCTTCTGAAGGATTCGTCTTCTTGAAGAACAAGACCGGAGCTCTCCAGGGTGAGAAGCTTGGTCCGATGGATCCTTTGCTCAAAATTTTCTTAA